ATACTGCATGTTTGGGAGAGCTATACATGAATGGATCCAGTACTAAACCCGGGTTTTGTTCTTGGGGTGCTTAATATTGCGGTGATGTTAAATGGTTTGTCGTTTACATGTAGATGTGACATTTTTTGAAACATACATTCACATATGTCGTTTGTGAACACCTACCATGACTATGGCCATTGTCATGTTGAACACTGGCAGGCAAGCACCTATATGGATTTGTCAAAAGAAGGTGATGCCATAGTAATATACCTAATTAACAGTTGTCACTCAAACAGATGGTGAAACTAATGAGAAACCATCAAAGAAAACTTGGCACACCATTTTCAAACAAACCCATATGCAGCTGTGCTGTCACATTGCCCACTCTTGAGAGGGGGCTAGGAAAAATTAAAGGACCGGATAACCCCTCAAGTCAAGCTCTTCCAATAATCAGAAAAAGTGGTTGAAGCGGCACGGAGAAAGAAGAAAAGACAAAGGATATGGTGGAGGGTCAATCATTTCAAAAGTTGTAGGTGAAGAGTTGTTTGTGAGAAAGTTGTGTGTGTGTGTGAAAGAGTTGTGTGTGAAAGGTTGTGAGTGAAAGAGTTGTGCGTGAAAGATTGTGAGCCGTGAGTGAAAGAGTTGTGTGTGAAAGGTTGTCTGTGACAAAGTTGCGTCTGAAAGAGTTGTGTATGACAAAGTTGTTTGTGACAAAGCTGTGTGTGAAAGATTGTGTGTGTGACATAGTTGTGTGTGACAAAGCTGTGTGTGAAAGATTGTCTGTGACAAAGCTGCATAAAGTTGTGTGTGAAAGAGTTGTGTGTGACAAAGTTGTGTGTGTGTGACAAAGTTGTCTGTGACAAAGTTGTGTGTGAAAGAGTTGTGTGTGTGTGTGACAAAGTTGTGTGTGTGTGTGTGACAAAGTTGCGTGTGTGACAAAGATGTGTGTGAGAGAGAAGTTGCATGTGAGAGAGATGTGTGTGAAAGATGGTGTGTGACAAAGTTGTGGGTGACAAAGTTGTGTGTGTGTGAGAGAGATGTGTGTGAAAAAGTTGCGTGCGAAAGAGTTGTGTGTGACAAAGATTGTGTGTGACAGAGTTGTGTGACAAGGCTGTGCATCTGGTGCCGTAAGTGCCACGCCTGCCGCGCAAAGGGGAGCTGGATGTCACCAAGCGCCATGCCTGCCACGCAGAATGCACGTCCACGTCGCCGAGTGCCACGCCTGCCACGCAAAGAGCCGCGGCGACCACGGTGCCAACTGGGAACCGGAACCAAGCGCGCCACCAGAGCCAGCCCAGTGCCATAAGTGCCACGCCTGCCATGCAAAGAGACGATCGATGTCGCCAAGTGACGGTCGATGTCGCCAAGTGCCACGCCTGCCACACAAACAGCGGGCGCCAAACGGGAACCAAGCGCGCCACCAGAGCCAGCCCAGCACACAAAGTGATCATAATGTCGTCAAGTGCCACGCCTGCCACGGAAAGTGACGGTCGATGTCGCCAAGTGCCACGCCTGCCGTGCAAACAGCGGCGGCGTCCACGGCGCCAAACGGGAACCAAGCGCGCCAACAGAGCCAGCCCAGTGCCATAAGTGCCACGCCTGCCAAGCAAAGTGCCGATCGATGTCGCCAAGTGCCACGCCTGCTACGCAAACAGCGGCGGCGTCGACGGCGCCAAACGGGAACCAAGTGCCACCAGAGCCAGCCCAGTGCCATAAGTGCCACGCCTGCCACGCAAAGTGACGATCGATGTCGCCAAGTGCCACGCCTGCCAAGCAAAGTGACGGTCGATGTCGCCGAGTGCCACGCCTGCCACGCAAACAGCGGCGGCGTCCACGGCGCCAAACGGGAACCAAGCGCGCCACCAGACAGCCCAGTGCCATAAGTGCCACGCCTGCCATGAGTAAGTTGTGTGGTGACAAGTTGTGTGTGAGCAAGTTGTGTGGTGACAAGTTGTGTGGTGACAAGTTGTGTGTGAGCAAGGTGTGTGTGCGAGCAAGTTGTGTGGTGACAAGTTGTGTGTGTGCAAGTTGTGTGTGAGCAAGTTGTGTGTTGACAAGTTGTGTGGTGACAAGTTGTGTGTGAGTAAGTTGCGTGGACAAGTTGTGTGTGGACAAAGTTGTGTGAGTAAGTTGTGTGTGGTGACAAATTGGAACAACCGTAGCCGGGGGGAACAACCGTAGCCGAGGGGAACAACCGTAGCCGAGGGTCGTCGTGTTTTTATCTGGTAGCAAACATCCAAGCAGGTGAGAGCTATAAGCACATTCAGGTCCCCATTTGTAGCGGTATTATCTGAATCGCCAGAGTAGTGGAGGGCTTCCACACTCATTCGCTATAAACAAGGGGGTGTGTATCGCAAAGTCCTGAACAACAAGGCGCTGGCTGTGTCCAAAGGACCCCCCGTTAGGCACCCTAGCCCTCAAGGTGGCTGCATATTGTACACTATACCGTCAGGGACGGTCCTCTCAAAGATGGACGAGTGGCTCGAGGCTTAGCTAGTGGGTCGGACAATCCCACTTTCTCTGCTATAGCCTCCTTGGCGATACGAAGTGACTTGTAAATCGGGCGCACGCCCTTCGACACCTCTGGGGCATCTGCATACCCTCTCCAGGCCACTGGTCTTTCCTGATAAAATTTCTCATCGCGTTTGGCCTGTCGTTCCGGGATCTCAGCTCTTACCGGGGCTAATCCAGCACCAAACCAATTTCCAACACATCCAGCGTCCTTCATTGCCTTCCTGAGAGCCTCCAAGTGCTCTTCCCTGTGTGCAAACCAAACATCGGAACAATCTGACTCCCACCAATCCTGTGGCTTCAGTGGTGAAGCCCAACGCCCGGGGTGATCATCCCTGGGATGCGTTGGCTTCACATGCACTAAACCACCTTCCGCGTCCCGAAACGATGTAATCTGTTTCCTGGACGCGTCCCTGAGCGTTTGGAACGCTTGCATCGCCGCAGCGAGTGGTGTGTTGTGTGCAAGCATGGTCAAGACCCTGGATGCCCGCTTCGCTCTCCACAATGTCAACACTATTGTGTGGTGACGAAAGGCGGCGGGCGGGCGAGGGCAGGCGGGAGCGGAGAGGCGGAAGTGCACAACCAAAAACAAGAACCCCACACAAAGATGTGAGGAAAAAAGAAACACAGCATATCAGCATGATAGATAATCCAAACCAAAAGGTTCATGATTATTTTACCGATTCAAAGAAAATAAACCAGCTATATCCTCATTATTTTATACAAGGCCTGGTTTCAAAGCCCTGAAAAATGTGCTCCTCACGGGGGATCATCACCCGAGGATTGGGCCCATGTTTAACCCCCAAGATTTAAATCTTCAAAAACTCATCATTTTCCCATTTTGAATCGTTAGTTTTCCCATTCTTTTGGTAGTTTTCCCATCCTTTTCCAATTTTTCCCACTTTTGTCCTACCTGATTTTCCAATTTCGTTGGGGCCCCGGGGCCCCAGGCTTCGGTGGAATTGTCACGCCCATCCATTGCTGCCCCTCAGAGCCTGGAATGGGTGATATAAATTTTGGTTCAAGAACACAAAATCATATAAACATATACATATATATATATATATGTAGTCACATATATATATATATATATAAATATATATAGGCTTTATATAGGTATATTATTGAAAACAAAAATGGCATAATAATAATGATAAGAATATAAATATATATATATATAATCCTCACATGTATACTGCTGTTGTCTTGTTCAAACGAGACATCATTGGATATCGATATATTTAAATACAATGTATATATATATATCTGCAAAATTTACTTTAAATTCAAAACGGTTTCCTCGTCTTAAATCTACTTTTCCCCTCTGATTAAATCTTCAGTCCTCGCCTCGTTACATTCAAAACGGATTTCAGCCCTCGTCCCATTTCTTTCTCGACCGCAAGCCATTCGAACTAGTCCTCTGCCTCCTTTTGGGTTGAACTTTTTTGAATTATCTTTGTCGTCGTTGCAGCAACGCTCTGGGCTCCAGAGGCTTGGGGATGCTGAAAAAACTTTTCAGGGCCTAAAAAGTTTTTTCCTGTTTCCGAGATGCCTCTTTTACAAGCGGATTTGCAGGGGCTCGATTCCCCCCAAATTCGACCCCAGAGAAGAGAAGCTGCAGCAGCAGCACCAAGATACCCCGCTACACCTCAAGCTTTAGCAATTTTAGAATCTAGTCGCGCTACCTGGGAAAGGTGAATAAGAACTATTGACCAAAATTTCAGGGTTCCCTAGGGTTCTTATTTCAATTAGCTGGTAGACAGAGTTGAATCCAGCAATCCAGCCCCTGAGGTTCTTAATGCAGTGGGTTCTTAAACAGTGGTTTCACTGTAGAACAAATACGGAAGTCCTGGAACAACCGGGCATGCCACCACAGGGCACTGACTGAATTACGATAAAAAAAACTTTTCGGGCTCCAGAAAGTTTTTTTTCACGGGTCTGAATGCACCCTTAATTTTCTATTTTTTTTCACTCTGATGGGAACAAAAAAAAATTCTGGAGCCCGAAAAGTTTTTTTTTACTCGTTGCACATGCTTTGAAAGCAATTTCTGCCCACCTCGTTTTCTGAATTTAATTAATTCACCTCGCTTAAATTGCAAAGATTCACCTCGTACCTCGTCAGCCCTCGCTCTAAATTGTGCAGATATATATATGTATATGTATATAACCAACTATATACATATCAAATTTTGGGGTACGATAATCATGTTGCAGACATGTGCGAACACGCCCACACCAACGGGCGCAGCTGCTTTTGCTCGCAAAGAGTCTCGCGGTAAGCGGAGCTACGTTCGCTACTCCTAGCCAACCAAGTCGCGCAACCCTTGTGGCGCAACTTGAGCCAAAATAGAAGTGAAACAACTGTACAACATGCAACACGAAAAACTACGGGGCAGACCTAAGCTACATCTAATGGCATACCACACTCGCCCCTCAGCTTAGGCTGCCCGCGCTGATGCCGCGAATCGCGGGCACCAGCCGCGAGGCAGGGCACGTCCCTCGCCTCTTTATGCCGCGCCTTCGTGATCTTCGATCGTGATCCCTCCTTCATAGATTTCCTCGAAGGCGCGCAGCCACTTCTTGGCTGTTTCACTCTCCTGAGAGATCTCGAGCGCCACCCCAGCCTCATAGTTGGCCTTCGATGAGGTCGTAAGATTGCAGCTCCCCACGACCAACTGAACCGGAGAGCGCCGATCCTCCCGGTCGGTCTGCACATACGCAGACTTCCCGTGCTGTAGGCCGCGCAATTTGCGCCCCAGCCTCACGGACCTATTGTCCCGTTCATAGGCCTGACTGACATTGAGTCCTTCCGTCAGCCTGACTCGCACACCAGACGATCTCAGTTCCTTCAGCATCTGGAGCTGCGTCTTGGTCTTTCCAGCGGCTTGCGAGCGATCTGCGACGACCATCGTCAGGCAACCCCTCTCGGTTGCTTGTTTCAGGCTATTGATCACATCTGGCTGATCAAAAGAGTAAGCCCGAACCAGCACACGGCCGCCCTTCCCCACGGACTCCAAGACTTGGACGAGCCAGTCAAAGGTTTCAGCGTCACGCAGGAACTTGACCCTGCATCGGTCCATATCATCGCTCTCAGCCTTATCCTTCAAGGCCTTAGGTCGGGGAACGGCAACTGATCCAGCTTCAAGAGCTGTCGTTGGCTCATCCACGTTGCTCCCTCGACCGCTGTCCAAACTCAGGGACTCCTTGATGACCTTTCTTTTGAAGTCTTGGGCGTCCTCAATCGCATTTGTCTGCGGAGGAGCTTCTGTGCCCTTCAGGGTCTTCGCCTTTTCCACAAGCCCTTGGAAACAGCTCCCCAAGCCGAGACCCATGGACTTCCTTGGCCGATCCTCACTTCCGCCCATTGCCGCGATGCCACGAGCAGCAGCACTCGAGGATGACCCGGCGCCGACCATCTTCCGATGGGCCGCCACTGCGGACGCCACATGGTCGCACGTCCCAGAGGCCAAGTATTGGCGGCAAGCGCAACCAGAGCTGTTGCCACTGACTCGGACTCTATGATCTTTCTTCGTTCCTCTCACTTGCCAGGTCGAAGAGGTACCATCGAAGCTCAGCAGCCGGGGCTCCATAGAGTTGCCATTGGTCATATGGACCCAGGCATTTGCCATTTTTCGAGATACCCACCAACATGCCAAAACGGCAAGCACGACCTTTCCGATCCTAAAACCAGTTTCAACGAAGGATGCTACTTCCTCTCCACCTTCCGCGATCACCACTTGGAACGCTTCCGAACTGGTCTCCACAATTTCTTCTATCTCAATCTGAACCTTTCGCACAACCGGGGCCAAAAAGGCGGCTATGACCAACCCTAGCTTGTTGGCCGATAGCCCATTGCCATTGTCCGCATGGGCCTTCTTGTTGCGAGCCTTCCGCGACACAGACCAACCAGAGCGCCGGCGCTTCTTGGTCGATCTCTTCCTCCTGGTCGCGCGAGGGCTGCGAAACGCAAGCCCCGCCGCTGACCCAGCAGACCCGGCCCTCTCCCTTTTCTTATGGCCCTCGCTCTTGTGGCGCCTCCCGGCTCGCTTGCGGTGGCCGCGGAGTTTGTGCGCCTTTTTCTGAGCCAGAAACTCTTCGTTGGCCTTCCTCACGGCCTCCGACTCCTGGCGAACTTCCTCCTCCGAGGAATCCTCTTGAGAAGGACGGGGATAACTGCATTTATAGCACTTAAACCTGAAGGACAGGTTCCCTTTTCCACAGTGATCACAGTCCCATGACTTCTCCTTAAGGATCTGTTCGATCTTTGTTACTCCCGCTTCTCTCTTGGCTTATCTTTTCTCTGCGGCAGGCAATGCGGACTGAGCGGGGCGAGCCGACGCAAGACGCCGGCAGTCGCGGTCGTATGTGCCAGTGCACTGCGACCCGCTGACCCAACCGACGCATTCATTAGCATCGGGAGGACTAACTGTCCCGCAGAGCCTGCAGACCCAACTTCCTGCCTTGTAGGTGAGTTCACCTAATCCATCATCTATATTCCACGCGGCCCCGACTGCTAACCTTGGAGCCGCGGCGGCCGGTGCGGCCAGCCTGCGCTGGGCATCTCCCAGCTGGACTCCCTTCCGGTGGTCCTTTGCTCGGAGCCGCGACCTCAACTGCTTCTTGAGTTTCCGGACCGGTTCTTCGGCCCGAAGTCCCGCGGCAAACCGGCTGTCGGCGTTAGGCACGGGTGCGCGCGTTGGGCACGAAGCTCTTGCCGCCGCAAGCCGTGCACTGGTTTCGGCAGAAGCCTCGGCAACGTCCCGGCCATAGTCTTGCGCCTCACCGGCTGCCTCATCTCTGCCTGATCTTTTGCGCACGGCCGCAGACACCGTCGCGCTACCGGCTATCACACGGAGGCGGCGTTGGAGCTCATCTTCTCCGCCCGCTGTCGGACGCTCCTGCTGCTTTTCGACCAGACTGGTCAGTCCCCCGGCACTCCCATACTGGTAGGTCAGCTCTGAAGTAGCTGCAGCAGCCAGAGTCGTCTCTATGAGCCGTTGGCCCGGATGCCGTCGGGGCTCGGCCCACACTTCGCGGAGCTCTTCAGCCGTCATCTCCCCGCGCAGTTTATTCGCGGGTGTCTCATCCTTGTTCTCCGGGAGGATTCCGCGGCCAGATCGCGGAAACGCAGACCCGGCCCGCGGCAGGTCCTCCTCGCGGCCAGGTCGCGAAAACGCCGACCCGGCCCGCGATGGCTCTTCTTCGACTTCGATTTCTTCCATAGAGCTAGTGCTTGAGGCGGCCTCCTTTTTTGCGCCACTTTCCGGAGAGGCGACTTCCTTCTTTGCACTGGCAGGGGGCTCTTCTTCCACAGTAATCTCCTCATCAGTGCTACTGCTGGACGATGAAGTGGACTCCTCCCCTCCTGAGGAAGCAGACTCTTCTTCCTTCACCGCCGTCGAGGTCTCTTGCTTTACTTCACCAGTCTCCTGCTTCACTTCACAAGCAGATGACGACGCGGCCCCTTCTCCAGCCACTGGAGCGCTCTGCGCGGGACCACGTATGACCCTGATCGACAAACTCGATTCAGAGTCACTTGTGGGCAGCTCTGCAGGCGTGAACCCACGGTCTCGCGTCCAGAGAACCTCGCCCTCTTTTCCTAGCGCACTGTCAAAGACACTAATGCGGAGGATACACTGCTTTGGCACATCATCGGTCAGGACGACATTGTCACCACCGAGTCGCATTCCGATTCGGTGCGCTCGTAACGTTCCCACTGTGGTTATGGCAGCGACGTCTGTGCCGCTCCTGACCCCTGACTTTTGCCCTTCCTTGCCAATTGCATTTGCCGCCCAATGACAGAACAGCCTGTTGACCGTCATGTCTCCACCTCCGCCTGCTTTCAGGCCATCATAGCCGATCAAGACTACCCGATCCCGGAACGTTCCATGAACGAGAACGGTGTCGTCATCAAACGGCAGATCCTGATCGTCATTGAAGTCTTCGCGGGTAAGCCCGCTGTCAGCGGAATGCCCCTGGCCGGCGCGGATGAACTTCCCATCTCTGCTCAGCTCTGCCCGCCGTTTCTTCCGACCATCGCTTTCCACCCAGGCCACTAGGTCGACGATATCCTTTTCTTGGACTTCGAAAGCCCTTGCGACTTCACGGACTTCCACCCAGCCATCCTGCTGGAGTTTCCCTCGCAACTTGTGGACGCCGTACTTCGATCGGCAGCTCCCGTGCCTAAGGGCCTTGACCATGAGGAACTCCAAGTCGTCCCAGTTGTGGCGGGGATCTCTCTGGGCTTGCTTTCCCTTCTGCTTTCCCCAGCCTTTGTTGCGGCGGCCTCCCCCGCCGCCCATAGTCCGAAGCACGCGGACAGGTCGCGAAACGCAGACCCGTCCCGCGAAGCTAGCAAAGGTCCTTATGTCCTTGCTCGCGCTTCTAGCCGCAAAAGCCTGTGAACGCACCGACCCAGCCAAAACCCGGCCGCGCGTCCAAAGCCAAACGGCTGCGGAAAACAACCCCATATTAACCAAGTAAGGGGGGACCTAATGCTACCCCTGCTACATGTAGAGGAAACCCCTTTACCCCAGTGGTTAGAACCCTTCTCCCGCATCCTAGAGTGAAACACCCATTCGGACCGCGGGCGAGTCGGGTGGTTGTGATCCGACTCTTTTTCATCGTGCTTCGACTTGGCGACACTCAGCCCGTCCGGCCTCACACCTAGAGCTTCCAAGGCTTCTGGGGCCGGCTGGCCGACCACGACTGGCGTTCGCTTCATGGCTTCCTTGATTTCGGCATCGTGTTCTTCATCAGACATCATAACTCCGTCAACAACCCTACCTGTCCTAACCGTAAGGTCGTCAACGTAAGCAATCCATTCCTTTGCGAACCGTTGTTTCCGGCCCCGACCTGGCTCATAAGCCCTGTCCACAACGTAGCAGAAATCATCCGGCCCATTGATGGGTCCGAACGTCAGGCACACGGGCAGAAACTTGCCTGACCGGGCCACGATGGCCAGGACTTCCATGGCCCTTCGAGTGTTCTCTATTTGGTTGAAACCGGTCACCGCGTCCACAAAAGAGAAGAATATAGAGCCGCTGCACTGAGCCAAAACATCCGTAGCCTTTCTGCAGTAGTACGTGGATCTTTTGACTCTCGCATTAACCTTCCGGTAATCAACCACCAGCCGCCGCTTGCGGGACTTCTTGTGAGCGGGTGCTTCCTTAGTAGGAAAAGGAGGCGATCCCCAAGGACTCGCCCCTCGGATCAGCTGTCCCCGCTGAACTTCTTCTTCAAGCCGCTCGTCGACCCACGCAGCACTCTCTCCCTTGAGCGAATGCGGTTGAAGACTCACGGGGGGTCCTGTTGGAACGCAATCATGGGCAACACCACGCACAGTAGTGCGAGGGCTACCTTCCAACCAAAACCCAGCGGCTTTCCGTAGCAAGACTTCCCTGCAAGCTGCGATATCATCGGCGTTGAAGTCGGGATGTTTCGAGAGGACATTTTCTCCAAATCCTAGTCCTTCAACGACTGCTTTCCTGTAGGACTCCTCCCTACGAGGATCCTTGTCGACCTTTTCCCCACTCAGCCGATAGACCGACAGGTCAGACTTGACCTCGTCCCATTGCTCCGCCTTTGCTCGACCGTCCCACAACTGAGCCATGCGGGCCGAAAGGTCGACTAACTCCTTCTCGATTGCCTCTCTTTCACTGGCCGTCAGCTCACTGCTGACGTTCACATCGGGATCTGGGATCTGGACATCGACCAGGCTACCATCCGCCCGCTTCTCCGCGACCGAATCAGGAAAACCTTGACTCGATCCGCTAGAGGAAGCGAACACTAGGCCTGTCTTCGCTGAGGCTGCTAGGGCACCCTTTAATGCCACTTCGGCAGAACTCCAATAAGCATCACAAAAACCGCTCGGGCGAACAGCTTCCTTGTCCCCCGCGCCTGCCCAGTGCTCCTTCCTATCATCAGAGCGGACCTCAGAAGAACCCCGGGTTGCTCGGTGCGGATGCACAGTCGGGGCCAGAGAATCCGGTCGACGGCAACGCAGGCTGCACGACGAAAGGTCCATGTTTGACAACCATAATTCTCCGTCTTCCGCTACCCAACCATACTGGTACGCGTCGGTCCGAATTCCCGACCATGGGCGTCTTGGCTCTGAGAGGCTCCCGCAAAGCTCCACGAGCTCCTTTCTGCGGAAGATAGCGCTCCCGACAGGACCTCCCAGCGACCCAAAACGACCTTTCCTTTCCTGCTCCTTCAACACAGAGACAGCATGGCGCAGTATGGCCTGATCTGAATCTAAGAAACGCCCCTGTCCCGACCGATCGTGAAGTCCAGAAGGCAATCCCACATGGACAACTCCAGGCTCAAGCCACTGAATCAAGAGGTCGACAAGGCAGCGATCTTCTTCTCTGGCCAAATCCCATCGGCGCCCGTAAGAAAAGCAATTCTGACCCAAAGGCGGCGCCGCCAAGAACCCTGCTCGACGCGCAGCCGCAGAGAGTCCTTTGCGGTCAACATGAATTTCTAAAAACGCGACCTTGCGAGCTTTGTGACTCTCGAGCCAGTCCATCAATCGTGAAGCTTCTTGGTCCAAAATTGGGAACATAGGAACCGGAACACCCTCAGCCTCAAACAGCTCGGCCAGGAGCACACCCAGCTGATTCCACTGGTCAGTCCCCGGCTCTTGAACCAAGGAAGCTACCCGCTCTTCGAAAAGGCGGTAGCCAGCCTTGTCCAATTTGCGGCTTGTGCTGGCTGCGAGGACTCCGTCCCTTGATATATCTGCCTTCGTGACCACTTCCTTCTAAGACTTCTAAATTTATTTATTTTCACATCAGGCACTTAATGAAGTTATAAGTATATTATAAGTTGCTATTATCTTGCTAATATCTTGTTTAAATTGTTTATTTTTATTTTTTTGTTTTAAGTTCCACTAATCGTTTAGGTGAACTTGTAACATAATAATGAACATATAAGTAAATATAGTGGAATATTATTCAAAAATAAGTTGAAATAAGGGAAAAGAAGCGAAAATAAGTAAAAATATGTTTTTTGTCAGTTTTCAACATTGATGGACATGGATGTCGATTACCACGGAGCAATTTTGGCTTCAAAGGGAAGGGCATTGGAATTTTTATAACGAAAAAATTATCTGGAATATATAATGTTTCCTGTAAGGAGTAGTTCCTGGAAAGTTAGTATCCCTTTTTTCTCTGAAAAGATGACCTCCTGTAATGTATACTTCCTGGGCAGGCAAAAATATGAGCAGTATAATGTTCATGAAAAGCAGTTCTTTCACAAATAAAAAAACTCAGTATGATATTTCACCAGAAAAAAAATGTAGCTTCTTGAGCTTTACGTTTTCCAGGGATTCGCATTTGAAGTTGTTGACAGTCAAATTCTTTAAATTTCTCAAACATTACGATATATTCTAATAGAAAATTTCAGATCAACTCAGTTGAAACTATGCAGAAAAAAATTATAAAATATAAAAATATTGCAATATATATATATATAAATTAAGTTTGAGACATTCAGAGTAATAAGAAATCTGAGAAACAATACACACCACTCAAAAAAAGATTGTAATAGAAATAAATGGAGAAAAGTAACTTACTGAGAAAATTTATAATGCTTAAACATACAGAAGGTAACAAATTTATTATTTTTAATGTATATACGTCAGAAAATTTTGAAAATGAGAAAATGTAGAAAATGAAGAAAATATTGAAAATGTTGAAAAGTCGGAAAAAACAAAAAATCAGAAAATTTAGAAAATTTTAAAATTCAGAAGAGTCAGAAAATTAAAAAAAATCTAAAATTCAGAAGATTCAGAAAATTCAGAAAATTCAGAAAATTTAGAAAAAAACAGAAAATCAGAAAATTCAGAAAATTCAGAAAATTCAGAAAATTCAGAAAATTCAAAAATTTCAGAAAATTCAGAAAACTCAGAAAATTCACAAAATTCAGAAACCCAGAAAATTCAGAAAATTCAGAAAAGTCAGAAAATTCAGAAAATTCAGAAAACCAGAAAATTCAGAAAATTCAGAATTTACAATTTAAATTAAAAGGAAAACAATTCAGAAAATTCAGAAACCCAGAAAATTCAGAAAATTCAGAAAATTCAGAAAATTCAGGAAATTCAGGAAATTCAGAAAATTCAGAAAATTCAGAAAATTCAGAAAATTCAGAAAATTCAGAAAATTCAGAAAATTTGAAAATTCAGAAAATTCCGACAATTAAAAAAAACAAAAAAATATGAAAATTCTGAAATTCAGAAAATTCAAAAATTTCAGAAAATCCAGAGAATTTAGGAAATTTAGATAATTCGAAAAAAATCGCAATATTCAGAAATATATATATATATACATAGATATATAAAATTTAGAAAATTTAGAAAGTTCCAAAAAAATAGAACATTCCGAAAATGCAGATAATTTTTAGAAAATTATGAAAATGTGAAAAATATGAAAATCAATGACCAAAATGTATATAAAAATATAAATTTAGAAAAATAGTAAAATATGAACATTTTTATAACATTTTCAATAAAGATAAAGTTTTAAAACTATAGAAAGTAAGAAAGTGAGTAATTTCCAGCTTGTGACAAAACAAGGAAAAGTGACCAAATATTATCTGAATGGAAAAAGGTCTTCGAAAAGACATTTCCTGTAAAGGATAATTCCTGGAAAGGAAAATTCCTGAAAAAGGATTCAATCTGAATTGAAAAATTCCTGATAAGGATAACTCCTGAAAAGGATTCATTCTGAAAAGAATAATTCCTGAAAAGGATAGTTCCTGAAAAGAGATGATGCCTGAAAAGGAAACTTCCTGTAAAAGATACATTTAACAGGACAAGGAAGATCTTGCATCGGAACCATGAAAATATCCAAACAAAAAAAGAAAACGCAACATTCTTATATTTTTTTAATTCAAAGATGTTTTACAAAACCCTATGACAGAAACATCTTTCGTCTTTTATCAATTTTAAACAGTAAAAAATAATGAAAAATTAACCTAAATTAAGTGAAAATAAGTGAAAATAAGTAAAAATGACTTCTATGATAAGTTAAGATAACTACTAATATTTTCATGAAGTGCCTGATGTGAAAATAAATAAATTTAGAAGTCTTAGTTGAGTTTGATTCTTTCGATCACGGGCCTAGTTCCGTTCTCCTCCACGGCTCCTTCTTCGTTTAAAAACGCCAAAACCCACTTGACCCTGAATGACCCAGTGACAGGGCGGTACTTGTGAACCCCAATCATGCCCTCATCAACTGAAACTTGCGTCACTCGGCCAAAATGGCAAACCTTGTGCCCCTTCGTGTAAGCCACCACGTCACCAATTCTGAGCACAAATTCTCGGCCACGGCGCTGCATGACAAATTCCCTTGGTTCGCCTTCGCCCTTCAGACGTTGCCCTAAGGACGGCGCTTCGTCAGGCGGGCCGTCATCCAACAAAACTTCAGCTTGGGGATTAGGACCCTCCGCGTCCACATCGGCAGGAACCAAAACACAATCTTCTGCATGGGCTTCGACTGAACGGTGCGAGGGATCTTGAACGGAGCGGAGAACAAGGCGATTTCCCCTAACTTCCGTGATCTCCCATGGCCCGGTCAGACCTCTTTTCCAAGGGACTCGCCCCGCCCCCTCTGGCCGTGCCAGGGGTGATTGCCAAACCACACGGTCGCCAATGTGAAGATCAAGGCTTCTCCGGTAACGGTTGGCGAGCTTGGCTCTGGCAGCTGAGGCGTTTTCCCAGTGCCTTTTGATCTTCGTACTCAACTTGGCAAAAGTCTCAAATTGTTTCCTTGCCCATTCGCTCACTGGTTCAAACTGCAGACTTTCACGGATAAGGTCCTTTTCCAAATCCAAACTGAGAGACCATGATCTTTCAAGGTCCCTGGGCGTATAACCATGCGCCCCCGGACTGTTATCCAGAATGTACTCCACAAGAGGGAGAAGCTCCGACCATTCGTCTGTCTCCCCTCGCACCACCTCCTTAATGATGATGTGGAGCGTCTTCTGCACCTCCTGATGCATGCGTTCATTGGAGCCCGTTTCGCAGGGTCGCATGCTCATAGCAAACTTCTGCTTGGAACCAAGACCCATAAGAGCGCAGAATTCTGCCATCATTGCATTCTTAAATTCGGGCCCCCTGTCGCTACGAACCAACGTCGGGACCGTTCGCGCCCGAAAAATGCAGCGAGCGAAGGCCCTCCTGACCTCCGCGTGCGTGAGAGACCGCAACGGTTCAATCTGCACCGCGTGAGACAGGCAATCCAAATAGGTGAGGGTGTACCTGAAACCCCACCGATCTTCCCTGTTCGGTCCTTCACAATCGACCGAGACTTCCTGCCAACACGCGTCCGCCAGGCATCTAGACGCCTGCGCAGTAACCTTCGTCGGTCTCCCTCGCGCCTTCAAGCAGATAATGCACCTTTCTGTCCATTTCTGAATGTCTTGTTTCATTCCCGGCCACCAAACCCTGCGGCTAAGAAGATTCCATGTACGATCGGCCGACCGGTGGCCCCCAATCGCTCCGCTGTGGGCCTGGTCGAAACACGATCTACGCCAGGTCAGCCCGTGCGATGTCACAAATCCGATTGGGACCACACAAGCCCAGACCTTCTCTCCTGTTTCCAAGATGACAGACCTTTCCAGAAGTCCGTCCGACGCGACTCGGAACGGGTCCCCTGGCCGTCGAAAGTGACCTGCCAGAGACGCGTCCTTCTTCTGCGCATCATACCATAGGCTTCGAAGCGAACCGGTCACTTCGAATTCTGCGATTCCCGCCCCGACCCTTGCTTCTAGGGCTAGTTCCTCCCTGGACGGGATCACTTCTTGCTCTCCCAGAGCACCGACTTGCACGTCCTCCGCACCAACCCACTGAGGGAGGATCCAGAACTTGGACCTCATATGAAGAATCAGCCTCCAATTCCAAGACCTTCCAAGGAACGCGATAGTAGGTTTTGGACCTGACTCATTGACCTTGATTTTGCGTCCCAAGGTAATTGGAAGCCAATATCCGCCCCCAGTTTGTAGCTGGAACGCCACAAGCACCCTTTTTCCGGCCAAATCTCTTCGGTGACCGATGGAATCCGTCCCGTTCCCATCGTCCCACTTGGCCACTCCCGTTGGCGCCCCGAGCAATGATATCAACCGTTGGAAGTCATCCTTCCAATCCAACTTTGGCGTCGCCGCTCCCCACAGCCGCGTACAAACGCCAAAGACAAGCTTGAGATGATTGTGCCAATTGACTTCGTGGAGCTCCCACGCAGGAGAAATTGATTCCAAACGGCCGATCTCAGCGCAATTATGAACCGTTGTGACGGAAGCGTCCGGGTTCACACACCACGTGATCCCATACTGGCACGCCTTTCGTTCAGCGGGGAGAACTGGCAAGGTGAACTCCTGCCCCGCATTCCACTTCTTTCCCGCGACTACTCCTAGTCCGCGAGGAAGCTCGACGAAGCCTTCGGAACCGTTGGACGCAAACCACCCGGCCGCCCATTTCCGGATTAAACTGACATGGACAATACAACTTCTCAGCTCATCACTAGAGCATGGAGCGGAGGCGATCGCCAGAAGATCCTCCGCAACCAGCTCTTCTTCGGCTTCTTTCTCCTCTGTAGGATTTTCCCTCTCTTCAGCAGCAGCAGCAAATTCCTCTGCGGCTTCCTTTTCGATGCAAGTGACGCACCGGCTGAAGACGTACGCTCGCTTTCCACAAGCACAACGCCCTTCGTGTTCCCATACTTCGCGGCCAGGTTCACGGGCCAGACTAGCTAGAGGAGGCTCTGCCAGGCCCTTGATCAAGCCAAGCTGAAGAATCTCGGCCACTTGCCTGACTTCTTCCTCCTTCGGAATCCTCGTGACGATTCCATACCCGCGCACCAGCGGCATAGGGAATTCTCGTTTGACTTCTGGGCAGGAGCTGGCCAGCAACTCCGGGCTAGGCTTCACCTTCCACATTCGCGGGTTCACTGACCACACAGTGACAGACTTCAGACCTGCCCAACCGGACACTACTTTCTTGATCTCCTCCCGTTGCAGATTTCTTGCCTGCAGAGTCACCTCGACCATGAGAGGGAATCGCAGTAAGCCCACAATGAGGCCTCCTTGCCCCATGCCAACCACAAAATCCGGCAGATGATAACCAATACTTCGAAGCACGGTCGCGCATGAGGTCAGCATGTCGACACGAGCGCGCTTCACCTGACGCTCACCTTTCAGCGCCGCAGTAGCACCGTCTAAGTGAGACCCGTTGCCGTCATCATCTTCAAATGCCCCGTAGACTGCATGGGTTGAAACCTTCCAGCCAGGCATGGACCGAGAGATCCCTTCCTGGACCTGACTGATCTGGAGGACATTATCACTCTGATTGGCGTAGTCGGCCACGAAAAGAACCTTCAAGTGGTTTCCCAACGACCCCTCGGCAACCCCGGCTATAGTCGCGCGGTGCTCCGAACCGGAAACACCGCCGCTGACCACCGCTGCGGAGTTCTCGCCATCAGAAGGGCCATTGGCCGGCAACACATCATCGCCTACAGCCCAAGCCACTGGAACCGTTGGATCTTCCGTGCCTCCTCCCAAATACTCTTCCAGATTGAATCCCCTGAGATGACCAGAAAGCCCTTGCAGGTCCCGCGTCCTTCCTTGAAGCAATTCATCCCGATCCTTAGGGTTTCTCGAGAATCCGTCCCCTAACTTGGCACTTCTCCCGCTCAAGGATCGGATCTCAGACCCATCCGCCAGGATCTCAGCCACCCACCTCACGAGCTTCACATCCGAGCCTATCTCGATGTGCTGAGAACGCGTGAGATTGGCGTGATCTGTCCAGCACAGTGTCCTAACTGAGCCGAACGTTTTGCGGGTCGCCCTTTTGACTTCCAGTTGGGCGTAAGCTTCCTGCACCAAGGGCGGCCAAGCCTGCTGGGGCGCCGTAAGGCTCCGCGAATGCGTAAGCAAGATTTTCATTCTGCTCAAATCGCGCGTCATCTGAAGGACTGTCCCCCCGACCGCGATCCCAGACGCGTCGGCGATCTGCTCCAAAGGGCAAAGACCAGCAATGGCCCCAGCTTCGTCGAAAATCGACAGTTCAATTGCCTTGGACATCATCTGCTTGATGGCCTTGACAGCGCGGCACCCTTCTGTATCGGCGCTGCCCAGACCACCCTCCGGAAATGGCGCTCCAGGTTTCTGATACTTGGAGAGCACGGCGCAGTGCCCAAATTCTGCCGGCAGATACGTCCGCAGCCAGTTAGTACATCCCAAAAATTGTTGGATGTGGAGCTTCTCCTTCAACGGCGCGAAGTCTCTGACAGCCTGGGACCGCTCCGGATCTGGAGCAGTCCCGTGCCTGCCCACCAAATGGCCAAGCAACCTGCCGCCCGTGCTGCAGAGCTCTGCCTTGGCCACGCCGTAACTGAAACCAAAGATGATGCTTTTGTCTAAAAAGGCTTCTAAAGAAACCAAGTGGTCAAGGAGAAAGCGGTTCGCCTCCGGATACCGCCTGCTCAGTGATTTCCGCAATTCTCCATAATAGAAGTCCGTTGGAGTGGCCTCAGCCATTTTCTCGATTCCTCCCGGCACCTCGACTATGTGGCAGACGGGCTCAGTGATAGTCGATCTCCAGGGAGTCTCGTCCCCTCTGAAAGACTTGTCGAAGAAACGAGTCTCCCCGACCCACTGGCGCCCTTTGAAAACCCAGGGATCACTCGATCTCGTATCTTCCCATTTTAGTGGTTCCCCGGTCAGAAACTGACCGACAGTCACGCGTCGCTGCCCGACCGCTGTGACCTCACCTGGAAAATCAGTGCTTGAAATCTGGAAAAGCTCCTCACGAGGCCTTTCGTGAACTCGCACCCATCCACCAGGGAAAGTCGCCCAGTGATCCGACTTCTCTTCGCGGCCATCACGAGCCACGTAAGCAAAGTTGTTTGGTGCTCCTGTAGCGAGCGAAACCAATCCCACCATAGTAGCCAGGAGCCCATAGCCTCGAGCCTTGCTTCCTTGAGAAGCACGTTCTCGGGGCCTTCGGCCGCAACGGCAGCCCTGCAGGCGGTGAACTTCTTTCGTCCTTTCGACTCCGCATGCGTAGCATTTCCGATTTTCCACCTCCATCCCGGGTCCTCCGCAGTCTTTGCATCTCGCTTTCGACGGCGGACCCGCTGATTGAAATACGGTGTCGACAGCCCCGCATCCACAAAGAGTGGACGCGGCCAAGCCGCTCCTCAACTCAGCCACTGGGTCCCCCTTTTCTAACACGGCTTCGTCGTGTCGCGGGGTCACCAGCACCATGCCTTCTCGGCTGCCAGTGTTCCACAAACCAACAACTTCGATCTTTCCTTCAATCGGTAAAACCGCCTCGCACTCTGAAGCTTCCGAAATCCATTCTCCTTGAACTTGAACCGGCACAAGGGCACCTTCCCCAGGCAGCAGTTGCACTGATTCCTCACCTGAAAAGACGACCGCCGCCTTCCTGCCGGTACATGGTTCACAAAAATCCTCGGCACCGGCTTCTACGCCTGATACTACTGAGCGAAAAACGTAAGCCCGATCCTTCCTTTCGGACGACGCGTCTTCACACCTCGGGATCTGGACGCCCAGGGTGTCCAAGATATGCGCCTGTGGTCCAGGCCTGAAACCGAGCCCGCGACGCGCCTCGCAGTCGAGGGCGCGCCCGCCGAGAATCAACCCGTGCCAATCGCTGGTTCCCTTGGCAGCGATCTTGCAACGGACGTAGAGTTCATGACCGTCCACGCACCGATCTGTATCAGGGCCTTCTTGCAACCGTACCTTCAGCACCACAGACCCCTTGAGAGGGACTGGAGAGCCGCTCGCAATTCCATGGACGAACTCCGGATAGACCCATTGCTCAAACTGGACGATCGGGAATCCCTTGTCGCCTGGTTTCAATCCAAGCGCCGCCGCTCTATTGAGGATGCTGACAACCAACTCTTCAGTGACATGGTTGGATCCAGCCCCTCCGTCCAGCAGCGTCTCTACCATTTTATCCAACACCTTGGTAACAGTCTTATACTGATATCCACCTCGTTCATTCTCCACAACCTTCCACCAATCCTTCGGCAATTGGTCAAGGCTAGTGAACACATCAGCTTTGGACTTGGGATTTTGCTCCGGCCGCGTCGCTGCCGCGAGAACGGCAGCAGCGACCGCAGGCTTTGGCGCAGGGTCGTTTGGCCCGCATGTCACTACAGTGAAAGCTGCGAAAGGATTCGCTAATCCTGCCCCACTCGGCGCGCTCCATCCCGATGGCAAACTATTATTGCTTCCCACCGACGCCCCAGCGGACGTAGACGTCGGGAGCGAATGGGACATGTCACACGCATCCCCTTTCTTGCAGGCTCCATTCTTGGCAAAGAACGGGCAGGGTTTCTCACTTTTCCCTGGTTTCGGTGCTTTCCCCTTCGAGTCTCCCTTGCCCCCCCTCCTTTGCTCTTCCCTTTGCCTTTGCCCGTGCCTTTTGCCGGATACGCATCCTGACTGCCCTTACCTTTGCCTTTCTGTTCCAACGCCTTCTTGCGCAGCTCCTTATCGTGCGAGAAAGGACATTCTCGGCCCTTTCTGCAAGATCCGTGGTCCCGAAAATCCCAACAGAGCCTTTCCTTCCGAGGATCCCCCGCGGTGACTCCAACCGGGGTGGGCTTTGCCTTCGCCTTTGGTTTGGGACCCTGGCCCTGAGGATTAGCGTTCGGCCGAGGATCTGGGTTCTGAGCGCTTGCGCTTGGAGCGGCCGCATACACGGCATTGGCGGTGGCGCGATTGGTGGCTTCACGTTGCTCAATCTCAAGGACCACCCTGTGCGCCTCTTCCCATGTCTGTGCGCCGCGCATTCGATCTTCCTCGCCCCAGATCCTCTTATCAGCTCTGATTTCCTTCTGAAGCGACGGCGGCATCTTCCGAAGGCTAGCTGAGGAAGAGTTCTCTAGGGGTCTTCCCCAACCCGACAGCCTCAAGCTCCGCAACTGACGCTTCAAAGACAGGCTCGAACTGATGCCCCGTGAGGCGACCCTTCATCAGCGCCGCGTGCTCAGCATCAATTCTGATCTCACGCTCTTCCCGGCTCTCACTGAACATCAGATGTTTGGCCTTGATCTTTTCATAGACCGAGCCTGGGTCGCTGAGAACCTCACCGGCCTTCCATGCCGCCTTGTACATATTCTGATATGTCTTGAGGCGTGAACCGCGGCAACGAGCCCTTAACGCCAGAAGCATCTCTCTATGGCCCATGCCGCGGCAAGAGTTTGCCAGACCACAGACATCTTCAAATTCCTCGTAAAACTGAGACACGTCCCGGGAGTCAGCTCTTTCATCTCCCAAGGTGGGCCAATGCAAGTCAGTTTTCACCGAAGTGATTGACGTGTCCTTCCCTCGGCCCGCGAGCGCTTCCTTGAGAACCTTGGTTTGTTCCTCAAGCGCCGCGGCCAGGGTCTGTTCCTGCCCGCTCGCCATTGAGGCTGCGTCAGACCCTGCCTTTTCTTGTCTTAAGGCTTCCAATTCCATTTCCAAGGCCGCCAATCTGGCCTGCATCGGCGAACCTCCGTTTCCTTTTGATCGCTCTGGCACTCTCGCCTTTGCTGACGGAGCAGAGCCCGTCCCCTTTTGGCCCGCTCCAGCACCTTTCTGATCATCCGAAGGTGTGCTGAAGAGCTTATCAGGGCTACTGCTCAACCGTCCTCCGAGCCTTTCAATGATCTCGCCGATGGCTTGGACTGAGAGTTCTCTTTCCGTTGCGTCGAGCTTCTCGTCTTGAACGGTTGCTACGAACTTGTCCCTTAAGAACTTCACCCCATTGCCTCGGCTCAGCTCTCCAAATTCTGCGTACAACTCAATCACCAGTTCCGCCTTTCTGGTGACCTTTTCCAACATACCCGCTGGGATCTGAGCGTCAAGACTGTTTAGCGCATTAATCACTCTCCCCATCCTCATGAGATACGCACCAAAGTCCTCAGCTGTAGGGTCGTAGAGCGCATCCAATTTGCCCCTGAGGCTCACCACGCTGGCACCTCCGCCTGATCCTGCAGAGGAAGGACGAGGACTGGCCCCCCGGCCCTCTTCGACCGATCCAGGAGCGGATTCCGGAGAGTACGGCCCAGAGGGAGACAAACCTCTGATAGCCAGCGCCTGCTCCCCTTCATCCTCCGAAGCCAACTCGTCGGCCCTCCCTTCTCCATAGAGGGCGGCCATGACCTCTCTCCAAAGGGCCACTTCGTCTCGCGTCCGGATGCCTCTTCCATCCCTCGCGACTGTAGGACGACGTCCCTCGTCTCGCCGCCAGGCCTGCCACTGCGGGAACGACAACTCCCCTGGCGTCGGCACCCGGCCCGCGTTGATCGCCTCCAACAGCGTGACCCCCTCAGCTTCGCCAGACACTTGAGTGCTCATACCGCGGCCGTGCCGTGAACCACGAGCACAGCCCGCGGCCCCAAAGACACGCCGCGTTCAGCGGAGCGAAACGCACCCGCGAACCGCGAACGATCCAAACAGGACCGTTTCCCAGAACAGCCCCCAATTGCGAACACGCCCACACCAACGGGCGCAGCTGCTTTTGCTCGCAAAGAGTCTCGCGGTAAGCGGAGCTACGTTCGCTACTCCTAGCCAACTAAGTCGCGCAACCCTTGTGGCGCAACTTGAGCCAAAATAGAAGTGAAACAACTGTACAACATGCAACACGAAAAACTACGGGGCAGACCTAAGCTACATCTAATGGCATACCACACATGTACTGGTAATACAATATAATATAATATAATAATCTAATATAATATAATATATTATATTATATTATATTATACTATAATATTATATTATATTATAGTATATTAGATTGTATCATATTATATTATATTATATTATTTTATTTTATATATTATATTATATTATATTATACTATATTATATTATATTATATTATATTAATTATATTATATTATATTATATTATATTATTTTGTTTTATTTTATATATTATATTATATTATATAATATTATATTATATTATATGTTTTATTAAATATTCTAAATTAGATATTAACTAGTGTATATGATGTATTATATATGAGATATTAAATATTATATATTATATATTAAGTGGACATAACATGCGATGACTCAACTTGATACAATACTTGGATGTACTGAAAATGGGCGAGTTATCCCCTTATTTGTGGCAACTTTAAGCAGAAACACGGTGATAAACCAGTGGCTTTAGGCTTAGCCTATTTTCAAACAAACCACGTTGCAGCTGGTTGTAGAAATCACATTATGAGTAACTTATAATTGTAACATATTGTAACTCAGGAATTGGAGGCAGCAGGTTAACATATGTTTTAAATATATATATATATATTAAACCTTGGTGATCCTTGATCCCCTGCTACAACATTATTTGTTTAGTGAAATATATAGTGTAACACATGGTAGCCCCATCCAATCACAACACATCAACAAAAAACACATCTAAAGGTGTCTGGCTATAATCACAGGTCCATCCAGCAACACGTTGAAAGAATGTTTCAAGAAACCACTCAGCTGACATGTAATTCCCGCCCAGAACGCGGTCCCTGCCTGGGGGTGGAGATCGCATCAAAATCTCCAAGCACTCCTCAGAAGTGTGGAGCTTGTCTGCGATGTCAACAAAGAGGATAAAGTCGATGCGTAGGAAAAGCACCTCGCAGAATTCCACCGGGGCTGGATTACCTTTTGGTCATCAAACAAACTTGGAAAAATGATGGCTATTAATGACTGTACCTGGTTGGTGGTTTCAACCATCTTGGAGAATATTAGTCAATGGGAAGGATTATCCCATATATTATGGGAAAAAATGTTCCAAACCACCAATCAGATATGATATTAATAAATGGAGGTATGAACAGTTGCTGCATCCACGACACAATCACAGGACACCGCCGCTTCACCAACTTAACCTCGTATAGAAATTGTATCTGTTGGGCTCCCACACTTTCAAATGTGTTGGGTGAGTGAATGTTGGATGTAGCAGCTAGTTCATATCTGGTTGGTGGTTATTATTCCCAATATATGGCAGTCAGTTGGGATGATTATTCCCAATATATGGGAAGTCATAATCCAGTCATATTCCAAACCACCAACCAGAGCACCATCATATTATTAATATTCCCATTGTTGTTGGTTTATACCCTATGAAAACCACTATTAATATCACTAGTTTCCAAACCACCAACCAGATATGATTTCATACGTGGGATTTGGAAAGGCCACAAATCTTGATTCGCGACCTTCGGGATCTTGGGCGATTTGGTGTGACCACAGAATCCTAAAAGTGTAGGTCCATCGTGGTAATCCTAAAAATTACCAACAGTATTGTGGCAATCCATTCAGTAATCCCACAATTGTGGTAATCCTGTCCATTCAAATCCTAAAGAATCCTAAAAAATGACCAATGCCAAGTGTATAGGTCCATTAGTACCCCCTTGATTGTCGCAAGACCCATTTGTTCAACATAAAGAACACAGATCACAGATCAATACCGCCTGCCCGTTGCTTTGAGCTTCTCCCAAAACCATCAACTGTTTGAAACAAATATACGGATCAAAAGCCACATACCCTCTGATAAACTAACATAACTATGGAAAATCACCATTCTTAATGGGAAAAGCAGCTATAAATGGGCCATGTTCAATAGCAAACTGTTAGTTTACCAGAGGGTATCTTGGCTACATCGCCCAGTTAGTTCAGTTTTGCTGCCAGGGGCTCTCTACAAGATGGTGCCCCGGTTATGTTTGTTGGTTTATGTTCACACCAGCCCTGAAAACTGGTTCGTCATGGCTTAAACATAGTAGGCTATTTGCACCAACTTAGCTGAGTACGGGGCACCAACTTGTATAACTATCCCATGTTATATACCCGCAATTGCGGGTGAAGTATCCCAATAATCCATGATATCTTCAATTTTTGTCATATACATGTCCGTGAATATCCCATGAAATATCCCATGAAAAAATAGACATTCCATGATGTTCCTATACCCTCTGGTAAACTAACAGTTCGCTATGGAAGCCATGGCCAATAGAAATAGATGGTTTACCGTTCTAAAAAAAGCTGGATCTTTCTATAGCTATGTTAAATTACCAGAGGGTAGATGTCGCTAGATGTTGCTTGGACATGCTTGGACAGTCATCCCACGAATCGTAACCCAGGTGATCCCGGGAAACCGGCACCTTCAGTGTGCAATTAATCACGAAGCCTCGGGCACAAATCCGGAAGATGATCATGTGAAATAGCGGTTTGGTCACATAGATCCAGTCGTTTTGATGATAAAGTGATCAGTTATTGATTTTACAACAAATTGTGATGTATCTATACATATCATATATAGACACTTTCTTAACCATTGTGAAGTATATGTACATAATGGTATTTATGAATGATAGACTCTGTACAACTTTATTTTATACTATGTATAGACATGTTATGTGTATACTATATATATACTGTCGATGTTAGGTAGTAATTCGTGCAGTATACACATATTACAATCATCTTCATGGTATACATTAATATTTTGTACATGTATTCTAAATACAAGATCTAGTTGGTGGTTTAAACCCCTCTGAAAAATATGAGTCAGTTGGGATCATTATTTCCAATATATGAAAAGTCAGATTCCAGTCATGTTCCAGTCACCACCAACCAGTAGGCTTTGTCATAATCCAGTCACTTTTAAGTCAAACTTAACCACAGCTTTTTAACCATAGCTTTTGTCAAACTTCCGGTCCTTCCGGGTCCTTCCGGCGGCCGGTCCCCATCGGTGCCCTCCGAGGAACATGAAGGTGAAAGTCGACGCAGGACTTTGTTGGACTCACAAAAGGGAAACCACATGGGCCAGTGGGGAAGCGCCTCAGCTGGCTGTCTGAGAAAAACCAGGCTTTCATGATGGTAACCTGGTATAAATCTAACAATAAACCAGGATAGATGGAATCATCGAACAACCAACTATTTTGATATCTATTTATGATGGATGATGGTATAATCATGTATAATCTATAAGTTAATGGGTGGTAGATCAACAATCATTGATAGCTTTCAAATGTTTAGTGAGTTTTCACCCATCATCTGAAAAACAAGGTTTGTCGATTTGGAACATCATCCCAAGGTAGAGTTGAACATATAGAATTTTGAAACCATCAGCCAGGACATGTTTACGTGTGTTGAATCAAAACCCATGAAATACATTGACATTCATTGAAGCACTATAACCCATATGCTCCATGATGCTGGAATAGTTCCCTACATTTGCCCGAACATAATCACCTAGTTATGTAGGTAAATATACTATACATAGAGCATATCGCATTGATTCACTAGTAATTGGCAACGCATCACTGGAAATTAGGGGTCATCAAACTGTCAGACGCTTTTGGTGGACATAAGAAGTATTTGACGCCGCCAAAACCCAGGTTCGTGACGCACATCCAATGAGGTGTTGTCGATTTTTTTCCGCAGAACATGCTAACGTGGCTGTTGAGCATCGTACTTGCAACTATCAACACATCTGGTCCTCTCCGCATATAAACATCCACAAAGCTCACGTTGAAATTACCACATGTGACCCATTTCATGGTTTCATGATTTCATGACACAGAAAAACATCACAATGTTTGGCCATATTCATGCCATACTTAAAGATATTTTAAGCCACAAATTTAGATCATTTTCCTAAGCCTCAAGCCATCACCATGGCTTCACCCAGGCATCCGGGCCCAAATTGTTGGGATCGTTCCACACCTGGGGGTCTTCAACTTCGTTTGTTGTGAAAACCAAGTTTCAACAGCCAAGGTGATTTATTTCAGCTAGATTCACGTGTTTTTTTAATGATGGCTTTACAATGGCTTTATCATGGTATATATATATATATAAATGACATATATATATGTATAGTATGTTATATGGTAGATATATATATGACATATAACAGGCTGTCCATAGTTTTTCGAATGGTGGGTGGGTTCTCAAATGTTATCAACCACAACCCATCATTGGGAGGGCACCACCAATCTACCTGCTCAGGCGGCGCCCCATTTCGTTGATGGCAACTGCCACATTTCCTCCATGGCTATATTTGAAACTATTTGAAACATAATTTCATGCACTACACATGGAACACCCTCTGGTAAACGTTTACATAACTATGGAAAAAATCACCATTTTATAGCTGGGTAAATCAACTATTTCGACTGGGCCATTTTCAATAGCAAACTGTTAAATTACCAGAGGGTACACATGCATTACACATGCATATTACACATGCACCCAACAAAAACTTCGAGATAGCTGGGATCCCAAGTCGACTCGGACGAAGTCACGAGCAGAACATCTCATTCCAGTGAGGTCACAGTGAGGTCCTGATATGTTGTTCAATACAATAGTGTATCTACTTTTTTTAATGGATATCTGATATCTAATGGATACAAGGTGGTGCCCCCCAAGTTATAAATTGGTTTATAATCCAATTAACTGTAGATACATCATCTATAAACCATAGTTATTGGAGTTATGAACCAGCTTAGCTATCTAGAGGGCACCACCTTGTATTTATGATTCTTCATATACATTGACAGTTAGATACATCCGGAATTGGAACACTTGACTATGGCTCACAAACCGAAGCAACGCAAGCCGGGAATCCCGAACACAATCTTGTCATCCTGCCACGTTCCGGACACGTCTTTTTGATATGTGTGTGTGTCTGTAGGCATCGGGTATACACCTTTTTTCCCCAGTTCTGGAAGTTTCATGGAGAAAACGGTGAGATTTTTTCAAATTGGCGGTATGTTGAAGTGTAACTGACATCAATTTGCGATGGGTTAAGCCATGGTGAAGAATAGTGGTGCCGAGCCATGGGATATTAAGGTCGCTCATCCCAAGTCGGCTTAAAGAACGCCTAAGAGAATTGACAAGTGTACCACGATGGTGGCGTTTCAATCAATCTGAAGTGGCGTAATGACAATAATGACCATACATATACCAATACACAATATAAGAACAATAAGTATCAATAAATGATAATAAGCATCGCCAAAGCTTGACGAATTACTTTCTTTTGGGGAACAGTTGAAACAGGGGCTCTAGATCGGATTGTTGGAGATGGCATATGGTATCCGTCGCTTGCATGAAGTTATAAACCAACTTGAAACTAAGGGACTTCTTGAATAAATTTATCTAATCTAGTGATATCCGATGATTTCTTCAACCAGTTGGAACGTTTCTCATTTTCCAATGATTCCAACTTGCCAATGACAATTCCATCAACATGATCTGGTTGAAGTTTGGCACGGACAACAGTAGATGCACACATTTCACTACATCAGGGAGACACCCTGAACACAAAATTCCTAAGAGCAACCCTCCAACTTGGATTGTTTAAGACTCAAAATGACCTGAGGCTAGTGCCTGTGGTATTGCAGCCCAGTATTAAATCACACCCATCTGTTCTTTAGGTTCAAGCCTCCACTTCCCATGTCCCCATGTCTTGACTAAAACATGCTGTCACGTCTTGGGGGAGTCAACCCCTATTTGACATGTTTAACTATTCAACCACCATTTCAATAAGTGATGTTGTGAAAAGCCAAGGTTTTCAAACAGATAGTCTGTGTTCAAAATTGTCCGCACCCACTAGATGGGTGATTCTAGATGAAAATTCGTCCCGCCAACGGTTGGTTCAATCCTCAGGTATTGATGGAACTTCTAGTTTTCAATAAATTTTCTTTGTCATGTTCGCATATTAAAAAGAATACATCACCATTTCCTTGATGCCAAAAAACCTCCATCATTGAACTAGAATGATGGGTTTTTACACTTCCGAGGGCATCCCTTTTGATGAAATCCCGACTTATCAAGTTAACTGGATGACCCTCCTGTGACCTAAGATACCGGTGCGGAAAACCAACCAAATTTTGTGGATCATTTCCCCAGGGAAACTCCATTGGTTTTCAACATTTTTCTGTTTGTTTATCCTAGGGTATACCCTCTGGTAAACGTTTACATAACCATGGAAAATCACCATTTTATAGCTGGGTAAATCAACTATAAATGGCCATTTTCAATAGCTATGTTAAATTACCAGAGGGTATGTAATTATCAACATCTAAGCCAATTGGTGGTTGACCTACCCCCCTGAAAAATATGAGTTCGCCAAATTGGGTCATCATCCCAACTATTGGGGAAAATAAAAATGTTCCAAACCACCAACATCTAAGGCTGTTGTGCGAAAAACACATGCATTCATTGCACTCCCAGTCTTCGATGGTTGAATCTCTCAAAACAATCGACGTCACGAAATTTGCAAACTATGTCCACAAAACGGATTTGGATCAAAAATTGGATTGATTGTACACAAAAACAACGCCAAATCTGTCCCCAAGATGATTTTGTTTATACCTGTTCAAACATGGCAAAAAATTCCCAGATACCCATTCCCGTGTATCACTGCAATTTACCCAAGTTATTCTGTACCACTACTACCCTCTGGTTATTCAAAATAACTATGGAAAATGGTCCATTTGTAGATGATTTGTGATGATTTGCCTACTAAAATTTTAATGGTGATTTCAAATAATCATATCTATGTAAAAATACCAGCAAATAACCATACTACGATCAACCTTTTGAACCATGAATCATGTTCACTGTACTGGTCGGCTAGTAACTAGTAGGTATTACCAATAAAGTTAAACCAGGTAAAAATTCACCACTGATAATCAATTATCATTCATCAATAGATTTCCATGTTTGATACTTAAAACCACAAATAATACCCTTATAATTCATGGGAGCTCATCCCATTAAACCCATAACAACCCTTTAATTCATGGTGAAATCCCATGAAAAAAAATAGCGCCTTGACTTCCAGCAGTGGAATCGTTGGGACTTGGTCCTACGGAAAGGCAGGTGGTCAGAATGTCCGGTGGAATTCGTAAAAAAAACATGGGAATTTTAGAAAATATGAGCCACATGTTTGGTTGTATTTTCACATTTGTTTGAAAAAACACATTTTTTGGCATGGGACATTGAGCATTATTGGTTTGGTTGTAAAAAATAACATACAAATCCAAACCAACAATGAACAACATAAATTTGACATGTCCTTACACTAACATAGCGTCTGTTTCAAAGCTGTTGTTAATCAAGGTATCGGGGTGATTCTATTCGAAAAATCGCTGATAGGATTGGGACTGGTTGGTGGTTGGCCTACCCATCTTAAAAAATATGATTTCGTCAATGGGAAAGATTACATCCCATATATTATGGAAAATAAAGGTCATGTTCCAAACCACTAACCAGGGGAGAATTGGCGTTTGAATCAACAATATTGGAACCGCTGATGCTCCGCCAAAAACTGCGAGCGTCAACACAACATGCCCAAACAAAACTTGTTTTATGTTCATTTTTTACTGACAATAATGGTATGACATGTTGACGTATTTGGCAAGCGAAACGACAACAGTGTCATGTTCTAATCATATGCCGAACCGTGTGTTCATTCGAATTTTTTGTGTGAATAGTCGATATTATTTGCGCACCTCAAATACACTAAAACAAAAAAACGCAAAAACAAACAATCACAACGCAAATTTAAAGATACGTTCGTGCAAACACCGTGTTGGCCGCCCTCCAAAAAATGTCAGAAATACAAAAACAAAAACCAGACAGTCCTTGCTAGTGATGCTCATCAAAACAAGATCGCCTTGGCGTGGGCCCGGGGTTTCCTTCACAGCATGGTTCACACAGTTTTCGTGCCTTCATGGTTTCATGACTTTGCACACTGTATGCACGAATCAAGGTCCCCGTGTTTTCATGTTGACGCTTTAGAAACGACCCCTTACAAGGTGGTGCCCCCCAAGTTAAAAGTTGGTTTATAATCCCATTGACTGTAGATATATCATCTATAAACCATAGGTATTGGAGTTACCAACCAACTTAGCTATCCAGGGGGCACCACCTTGTATAACTATCGATTCAAATGTAAATAAAACATTCCAAACCGATACCTTCAGTCACCCAATTGAATTCCTCCACCCCAAGATTCAACCCCAAATGCAAGTAGCTGTCACTGGGCCGCGTTATGCAACGAGCGTCGTTTACTTATTCAAGCCAAGATTCTTGGTGGGTTCGTTTTGTGCACGCACAAGACCTGGCGAAGTGATGGTTCGCCCCTTCTTTCTTTGATCTGAGAATGACGGAGACCCTTTGCGAGCTAGATATCCTAATTGCAGGTGGGCACGGAGGCCGGCAATTTCACAGTTCGGCTGCTCAAATATGGTGACTTTGGATCCCCTCCCTTGATATATGGCCACATGGACAAGATAACGTATTTTGGAAAGGCGAAGATGCCTGGCATTATTTGCTTTCATGTCTTGAAGGCGCCGGCTGTGCCGTTCAAATCAACAAACTACCAGAAGCCAAACAATTGGTTGCTCCCTGCAGCGTTGGGAACCCAAGGCGCTGCAGCTGCCCGCCTTCGCTGTGGGCTTTGAGATATCTCGAGCAGTTGAAAAGTCTTGCTCCTGACTTGCACATTGAGCCGGACTCGCGGGCAGGGTCTGGCCAACACTCCATGCCAACCGTAGCAGCTGCCGCTGTGTCACTGAAGAGTCTACTTCCAAGCTACTCTTGGTCTGGTTCTTGGTTCGCTCGGATTGACAACCGCACATGCAGATGTGAGAAATGCCATGAAGATGTCGAAGTAATATATTTGCGGTCTTTCTCGCACCATGCTTTGCTCGTCTCCTATGCTGCTTTGCAATTTTGAGCCCAGCTGCTTCCGCAAAGGAAAAAACCATGGTTCCAGCGTCATTCAAGGGTCTACCTAAGCTGTACACACACAGGCAGGCAGGGAGGGAGAGAGGGAGGCGGGCAGGCCCGCCAAATAAACAGGCAGGCAGGCAGGCAGGGAGACAGACAGACAAACAGAGATACATACAGATAGAAATAGATAGATATAAATATAGAGAAATAGATTTAGATATAGATAGATATACATAGAAAAAGAAATAGAAAGAAATAGAAGGATACAGGACATAGAAACGATATATAATGAAAATAATGAAATGGAATGTTACAGAAAGATGGATATAACAAAAAACAAATAGACTTAAACACTCTCTCTCTCTATCTATCTATATATATATATATAGAGATGCATAGATAGATAGATGGATAGATAGATAGATAGACAGATAGATAGATAGACAGATAACAGAGATATAAGAATAGCAATAGTTAATTAAAGATAAACTGATGATTATGGAAAGAAATTTAAAGACACAGGTAGACAAAGGTAAAGATAGATACATACATATATATATATATAAGACAAATATAGATACAGGTATGGATGTAAATATAGATGTGGATATGGCAATGAATACATAGATATAGGTAGCTTCAGGTCTATTTAAAGATAGGTAAAGAAATATGTAAATATTCTTTGGCGTTCAGACATAGATAGATAATAGATGAAAATAACAATAGATTTATGAATATATATATATATATATACAAAAATAACATGCAAATTTATTCGCACATACACCGCAAATAAAAAGCAAACTGACACATAAATAAATGAATACACATATGCATAAATAAATAAATAAAGAAATAAAACAAATAAATAAATAAATCAATAAAACAAATAAATAAATAAATAAATAAAACAAATAAATAAATAAATAATAAATATATATATATATATGCATATTTGCAACATGTTCCCGGCCAGCGGCCGGGACCCCCCCAATGCTATCCCCGCACAGCGACCACACCCATGGGGATGGCCTAGCCATCTACGACCATCCGTCAAGATCTCATATGCTGTATACAATACCTAACAAGATCCCTCCATGCAGTGTTCACTACTGCCTAAATGCCCAAACAATCTATTTACAACGTATTACTGCTCATAAAGTACCTTTATAGCAGCCATATACTAGCTACTGTCAACATCTCATATGCTAAACATACGTGCAAGCCATGTACTCCCTATACATTATCTACACAATACCTCTAGAACACCCCACCAATCCCACGGGGGGGCAGGGGGTTAAGCCACACCCGACATCACTGCACATAAAGTACCTTTTATAGTAGGCACATGCTAGCTACTGTCAACATCTCATATGCTATACATACGTGCAAACCATGTCATACGTGCAAGCCATGTACTACCTATACACTATCTACATGGTACTTCTATAACACCAACCTATCCCAAAGAGTTCCGGACGAATCGTCAGGTGGATGTTCTTCCTCTTCGTCTTTTTCTTCTTACTTCTTGCTGCCGCTTGGTGACCCACAAGGGACACAAAGTCCCCTGTATGATGGTAGATCGGGGCCTATGTGGCCGAGCAACCTTTCTATAAATTTAATTCAAATAATTCATTTAAATTCTTGGGAAACCACACTGTGGTGAGACGGTCCAATGTACCCAAATCCCTTGGTTCTGCAAACATCAGCGAGCCAGCAGCTATTGGCAAAATTGATCCCAAGATAAGAAAAACAAACTTAGTTCTAGAATAGCCAAAAAAAGGAAAATGCCTGAAATATGCCCCCTTGTCATTTTCTTTTACATAGGGGAGCCCTCGGCGACCCACTAGTAGTGTGGTTGGACGCAGAATCCCGCTCCTCCATGGCAAAGGCCGTGCCTGCACCGAAGCCCAAGGCCATGACCTCGTTGGGCCAGAAGTGGACGTGTGGTTGGTGGTGGGTTGTTGGCTGCTGAAAGCTTGGTTCTGTCCAGGCTCTCCCTCCCTTCTTCAGGTTGAGGTTGTCCAAACATGTAGTCGCAATAAAAGGGTTGTTTTTGCCAAATTCGTTCCCAATGTCAGACGTGTCTTCTGGTCCACACAGAGTGGAGAAACAACTATATAAATTTCAATGCAGCCAAATGAGAAATCCTAGGAAACCGGCAGATGTTGTCTGCCAGTGGATGACATCCTAGTTCAGAGCCAGCATTAGTGCAAAGTGGATGAAAGATTGCCCACTGCCATTGCTGCAGGAAGAAGATAACATTCTCCCTGGAAGGCATGGAAACAGCTCAAGGGAGTCAGCTGGAGTCGAACCAAGCTGTACAAGGCCGGAGGATGCACGAGGTGGCAGCAGCAAATCATGTTCCAATCTCTTTCTTGCTGGTTTCAACGAATCCCCAGAACACTTCACGGTAAAGCGAAGGAAGAAATCTTTAAAACCACAACCCACTGACTTCGCAAACCCGAATTCAAATCACTTAAAGCGATATAATGGGGATACGGTTGGATATGATGCATTAAACTTTAAACGAGCTGGATTAAACCGACCACCATGGGGATTTAATGGGATGTGATTCTCCTCATACATTACCCACTGGAATCAATAAGCATGGCTGAATGGCAATTCCCCTCTTTGCACATGTTTTTCCCATTGAAATGTCTCTTTTTTGATAGGGGTTTCCCAGCTAGCCATGTTTGAGGACAAACGAGGGAAACCATCAGAAAAAATGCTGAAATCAACGTGTCTCAATCCTCGCAACCAGGGTGGGCTGCGGAGCTCGCAGTTTCGACCCAGCAAAGACCTAAGGTCGTGGAAGCAGCTGGGAGCTCCATGTGGAAGACACAGCAAGTCATAGAGACGCTAATATACCTTGCAAAAACTAGTGAGGATTACTATTCTCACATCTGTCGCAAAATGTATCAAATCATTGTACCCAACCAAGCCGTAGCCAGAAAATGAACACCCAAGAAAAGGGATGCACCATGATGCATCCATAGTCGCCGTGATGAACCTCGTGCAAAAATTGAACGAAGAACTGTAGACAAGCAGAGGTTGGCCAGTTGGCCACGGCCTTATGATGATAAAGAACTAGGATACATTCGAACCACTGCAACCGTCAGCATGTGGAAGCTTCATCCTCTTCGTATAAATATCGGATTCGAACCCTGGTCCGAAATGGAGACCCCTAGTCGTTGGTTTACAGGATCTAGATCATCCATGGTCTTCCTCTTTTCTATGGCATGTGGATTTGAAGCTTTTCCTTATCGATTCTCCATCCCGCATGGCATGCCAGTACTTCAAGGACTCTTGGGTGCACAGTGCAAACCCGATATTTCATCAAAGGCAGTATAACTTCAGGTAACCAGCCCAGTTAGAAGGAGAGTCATCTTCCCTACGTTTTGTTTTACATGCTAGTGACACACTACCTAGCCCCCACCTATCCCACAGGGGTGGGGTGGGTGGGGTGTGTAAACTATATCTTACATAGAGCCCCCTACACACAGCATACATACAGCGTACATACACACATACAGGACCATGACCATGTCGTGGGGGGTGGAGGGCGTTGCTGGCTTGGGTTATGGACAAAAGTTTTTCCTGCCGGGCTTTTCAGCACCCTTTCCCTGTAGACTCCTATCTACTAAAGAAGTTTCTACTTCCACGGATAAGATTCGCATCCTTTAATAGAATTTTGATTAAACAAAACGATTAGTAAATTCGATCAACCATGCAGGCCATGCGAAATGGGCCTCAGAATCATAACGTTGATCCGCAGAGGGATATACATGGCTTTGTTCTGCAACACCGGACGGGGAAAAGCGTTCGTCCTAGTGAAGTATATATAGACATAGATATAAATAGAGATAGAGATAGATAGAGATAGATATAGATAGGTATATAGGTATGGATAGGTATAGATTCAAAGAGATATAGATAGATGCGAATAAATATACTGTAGATGTTTAAACATATAGAAATAGATGGATGTAGATGGATATAGACATATGCAAACATACGGAGATATATACATAAATAGATAGAGACAAATAGAAAGACGTAGATAGACAGATAGACATATAGACCAATCGAGGGATTGAGAGATAGATATATGGAGATAGAGACACACCAAAATGGAGAGGTAGAGAGATAGCGAAGTAGAGATATAGAGAGAGAAAGAATTATAGAAAGATAATTAAATAGTAGATAAATAGGTAGACATCAATAGAAAGCTAGATAATGGTAAGTTTAAATCGCCAGTGATGGATAGTAATACATATAACTGGGTAAATGGTAATATCTCACTCACCTGAATAGTTCGGCCATTTGGGGATGATTTCCCGCAATCTAACCATGATTCCAGTGAGGTCGTAGTGAGGTCGTTATAATTTACCCAGATATAAGGCCCAGCGGGATGGGACGTTTATCCCAAACGATCTTCGTATCAACCGGTGAAGCCAACTCGAGGAAACCATGCGGATTCTTCCATGGGAGCACGTGCAAAACGAACATACGGCGTGATACGTTGCAACCCCCCAAAAAATAAAGGTATATCTTTGGCAGGATGCTGTACAGTGATGGCCCTTTACCAGTTACAAGTCTGTTTTGATGGAATGGTAACCCTAGTCAAAACTATTTATAACTGGTCAAGGGCTTTAACTGCAATAAAGAAAATGGGCAGAATGTTGTACTTTGATGTCCTTGAGACCCATTTTTTATTGGGATATATGAAGATATATTCGTAGGGCTCAGAGTTCCAATGGATTCCCGATCCAGGTTCCAACCACTGTTCAACAAAGGAAAGACCTCAATCTCCCACGGGTATAACCCTTAAACAGTTATAACTGACTTGTTTAATGATATCTAACTACAGTAGTTGCAGGAATTATCATCCCATGGCCACTGGTAACCATAGGGCTATAACATCTATAACTGTAGATTTGGGGGGTTCCTAAGCATGAATCTCCAAATCACCATGACCATGACTTTGCCACCGGATCTGTTCACCCAGTGGCTTTTTTTTGGAGTCCGTCTCTGGGGACAAACTACGGCAATGAAAATAAAAACAATCCATGTCACTGTAGGAAATCGCAACGATGGTTCAGATTCGACCTAAGGAAACTTGATGAAGTTGGATGTTTGCTGGGCTGGGTGTTTTGTTTTATCATGTTTTATCCCTCTATGACTCCACCCCCAAACTATTTTTTTGGCCAACAACTGGGGGTTCTTTGAACAAAATTCATGCCCTCCAGCCCTCGACCAGCCCGCCCTAGCCGCTGGGTGAAAAGGGGACTACAAGGTGGAGCTATGTTGGTTTATAAACCCAACGAAGTATGGATATATTATTTACCATAAACATGCATAAGCCATGTTTAACCTAGTTATACATAAACCGACTTAGCTATCTGGGAGGCCATCTTGTCTCAATAACAGTATTATTTCTCATGTTTGATTGCTCGTTTTCTTGCTGGTAAATCCCCACTGATGGATCAAATACCCTCCACATCGTGTAGGTCGGCATTGCATCCATTTGATTTCAAACAGATAGGACCAAGTAACAGTTGCAGCACTTTTGCTAGGGCTTCAACTTGTCGATCTTTTGGGGGCTATACCAATAATATCCAATAATGCACTTTTAAGGTAATTTACCTGTTGTTTTTCAGGGGTAAACCTTCAAACCCCTCTAGCTCTTCATCAACCAACCCATGGGAATTTGGGACATCTATGGGCTATACATTGGATTTACCGCAAGTTCCACGTGGAAGTCATCCCCAGGAGTCAATGAAATTAATCCCAATTAAACATTGTTTCAATGGGAATTTCAGGATCCTAAAATGGAGGTACTGTACCTTATATAGGCCATATATATGGTAGGTACCTCCGGTTTAGGTTCCTGAAATGGCCATTGATTGTTTGGATGAAGAAAAACAATGAAAGTACAACTTTCAAAACATCACAACCCGTGACCAATCAGCTACGAGTACGAGTACTGGTTAAGCCCTGCTTCTTCGCCCAAGGCTTGCCGCGCGTGTCACATGTTCCAGGGGATTCAAAGATGTCCATAACATGAATGAACATTTCGACATTTTGACCCAAGTAGAAAAAGGGAGTTGATGGACTTTTTATGAACTTTATGATGAACTTTAACCCTCCAAGATGGGGGTTTACAAGGTGGTGCCCCATAGTTATAAGTTGGTTTATAATCCCCATTAACTATAGATATAACCCCCATAAACCCTAGTTGTTCGACTTATAAACCAACTTAGCTATCTAGGGGGCACCACCTTGTACCGCTTTACCCATGATATCATGATGACTTCAGACTTCAGACGGTCCAGGTCCTGAATGGCCTTTCGGATCTCGGATAACATCTTCGTGGAATCCGACCCATCCAACCTATGGTTTTTAGCGGCAGTGGAATGTTTACCCTCCGGTAGTTTAACAAAGGGCAATCCATTATGATTCCATTATGTTAGAAAAAAAATATACATTGATAATCCAAGATACATTCTGGTAAACATACAAAAAGCTATTGAACATTGCCCATTTAAAAGTGATTTACCCATTAAAATATGTGGTTTCTATAGTTGTGTTAGTTTACCAGAGGGTAGTTGTTTTTCCAATGTTTTTTTGGGTTGGGTCAAGAAACCCGAAAACACCATGCTTTGAAATTACCAGCAACATGTTTGTTGGAACAAGGAATGGGGATAGTGACAGTGGTGTTGGTTTTCCAACCTCATCTCTTTTTTTGTCCAAAGAACAATATCTTTCTCACCAACACCAAAGCTTCCCAAACACCTATCAGCCAAGCATCACGCCATGTTTGTTCATTCTATTTCCATTTGACTATCACCAACTGATAGCAATTTTTCATGTATGTATGTATGTATGTAGGTAGGTAGGTATGTAGGTATGTATGT